ATAAGTAGTCCCCACTGGCACTGGACTCCAAAAAATCTTTGTTTTATTGCATGTGATACCAACAGTGCATTTAACAAATATATTTTAACATTGTTTTTGAATTCTCCTTCCGGTCTATCCTTTCGCAATTCATTAATCACTAGTCTATTAAAACAAAAAAATAAATTGGATATTTTTCTTTATTAATCAATTTACATAAGGGAAATAATTTTCTCTAAAATCATGTGAAAGAAATCTTTCAGATGTATACTGATTGATTGCTTTCACTTTATCCTAATAGCATGAATCCAACAGACATGAAAACTGATGATTTTTGTTATTTTTCCCTCCAGGAATGAAGCAACATTAAATATCATATCTGAATCTCATCTTAGGAAGTGTTAATGAATTTCAACAGACTTATAACATTTTACATTGTTTATAGTTCTCTTACCATGTATCCTCATAATCATGTGAAATATGTTATACTGAATAATTAGCACAAAGTGGAATTGTCCACAAAATATTGAGTTGGTCCATAGTTAATAACCAGGTTGTTAGCAACCTTAATTATTGTAAGATGCTTAGTGTCACCTCCAGGCAAAATGAGCAGCATATAAATTAAACAAATAAAATAAATACAACTGTTTAAAGTTATGACAGACACTCCCAAAAGATATTTATGACCCAAATTCAAAGATCTTGAGTCGCCCTCACCCTCATTTTGGGTGCTGAGCAACCATCACATGCTTATAGTTGTTCACAGCATCCTGCAATCTCATCACTGCAACGTACAATGTGTATGGACGGAACATTTACTTCCAGTTTCTAGCTGTATCCATTGCAAACAATGGATTCACTCAACAATCCTAGTGCTCGCTTAATAACCATGGTGCTCACTTTACCACTGTTGCAACAATTACCTGCAAAAAAGGTCCTAAAATTGAGTTGGTCATATAATGATCCATTTATGGCACAACCTACAACTGTAATTCCAGATAAATTACAGTCATAATTCAAAAAATATCTGTAATCATATAGTGATAAATGTTTTCTATAAAATCTTTTTCAACCTCAAAATGATCATTGTTTAAATTGAAATTCCATTAAATATTCCATTTCTCTTTGATTACATCCAATAAATTTTGTTTATAACCTGGTAACTGATTCCGTTGTCAAGTTTCTATAACAAGTAAAGTATTTATTCCTATATTCAATATTTATCTTATTATTTATTTATATTTCTTATTTATAAACCAGCTACTTCCCTCAGAAATATATCTTTTAACAAAGATTTTAGGTCTAATAGAATTATTAGGGAAATTCACAGTAAAGCAGGTATTGGATTTGGGTTATGCTCTGCCATGTCTAAGGTGACCAAACGTCCCACATTTGGCGGGACAGGCATACCTTCTCATAATTTTTCCCGCGTCCTGGGCCATTCCCAAAAGATCTTGCTTAATTTTGGCGCCTTCTTCGACTCGCTCCCCCGCCCATCCGCTGCTGCTCGCATGGGCGGGGTAGCGTAGCGAGTGAGCGGGCGGAAGGGCAGGGAAGCGAGCTCGCCTTTCCAGCCCCACTTCCGGACAAGCCGTTGGAAAGCCTCCGCGAAAAGAGCCACCTGGGGCCGCCGCTTCTTCTCCAAACTCAGAGTAAGTGACGGGCGGGGCAAGTGAGCGGGCGGATGGTGGTGGGATCGCCGCCCGCTGCACTGCAGCTGACTCGCCCCGGGCCGGGCGGGCTGGGAGGCTTTGGGCGTCCGGGCGGGAAGAGTGTGGAGGAAAGCAGAGCGGCGCTTGACACGACTCTGCTACTTCTGCTGGAGGAGCCCCTAGATAGGGAAGGCGGGTGGAGGGGCGGAGCAAGGGAGTGCAAGCAGCAGATCCCAGGCTCATATGCAGACAGAGCTCTCCAGGCACAGGAGCGCTGGAAAAGTGCTCCGCTCATGCACCCACCGGGACGGAGCACGCTTGCTCTCTCACTCCAGCCCTGCCTGCCGGCATGCTAAAGTGCCAATATGACTTTGAAGTGCTGGCTTGCCGCTTGCCTTCCACGTCAGCCCGCGCGGAAGGCAAGCCAGCACTTCAAAGTCATGCCGGCAGTTTAGAACTTGGCCGCCATTCAACGAAACATGTTTCGCTGAATGGCGGCTGAGGGGCACGCTAAAGTGCCGGCATGACTTTGAAGTGCTGGCTTGCCGCTTGCCTTCCACGTCGGCCCACGCGAAACGTGTCGCTGAATGGCGGCCGAGCCTTGCCGGCAGCCTTCTGGGCCAGCCGGCCATTCAGCACTCGCACCCAGCGCTCGCACGCCCACAGGACAGCGCCGGGGAGGAGAGGAAATGTGCAGGTCCCGCCGCTCATGGTATGGATGAGGGTTGGTCGGCTGGGGGTGGGGGTGGCTGCTGCCGAGGCCTCCAGCCTTGCAATCCTGGGCGGGGAAGGCGAAGGTTCGCT